AGGGGGATAGCTTGAGGCTCTGTCTCAAAAAAAGAAAAAAAAAATCAAGGATAGACTGGGCCTGGTGGCTCACACCTGTAATCCCAGGATTCTGGAGGCTGAGGCAGGTGGATCACTTGAGCTCAGGCCTTTCAAGACCAACCTGAGCAAGAGCAAGACTGTCTCTACTAAAATAGAAAAATTAGCTGTGCATTGTGGCAAGTGCCTGTAGTCCTAGCTACCTGGGAGACTGAGGCAGGAGGATCCACTGAACCCAGGAAGCTGAGGTTGCTATGAGTTAGGCTGATGCTATGGCGCTCTAGCCTAGGCAGCACAGGGAGACTCTGTTTCAAAAATACAAAAATAACTTTTCCTATTTGAACAGTAATATAACAATACATGTATCTAAATATACAGCTATAAAATATTTTATTATTTTAAGAGAAAAGTATAAAGTCACTGGAAAACATTTAGAATAAAAGCAATTCTATCATCCAGAGAAAATTACTGCTTAAAACATTTAAAAGCATGACGTTCAGGAAGGATTTTCCACAAATACTAAAGAATGAGAGGTAAAAAACAAACTTGCCAAACTGGTTACGTGAATGAATATTCAAGCTCTAAAGTCTTACCTTTGTTTTTGGAGTTAAAAAGTACACTTCATCCACAGGAATAAGAGTGTATTTGCCTTACAGGTGGGGCTGGCTCAAGAGTCATAAATACCACCTATGTAATAAACATTTACTTTCCCATAGGATGTTCCAATAAAATTATATGTAACGAGAAAAGCAGGTTTTAGCTTAACCTGCTAGGGCAAACAGTACATGTTTGAAGAGCACACTATAGATTAAAGAGGGCTTTTGGAGAAGCAACATAAAGAAATCTGAAGTGTTGGTTCGGCGCCTGTAGCACAGTGGTCAGGGCGCCAGCTCTATACACTGGTGCTGGTGGGTTCGAACTCAGCCCGGGGCCAGCTAAACAGTAAGGACAACTGCAACACAAACAGCTGGGCATTGTGGCGGGTGGCTGTAGTCCCAGCTACTTGGAAGGCTGAGACAAGAAAATCGTGTAAGCCCAAGAGTTTGACACTGCTGTGATGTCACGGCACTCTACTTAGGGCGACATAGAGTCTGTCTCAAAAAAATAAAAGGGCGGTGCCTGTGGCTCAAAGGAGTAGGACACCAGCCCATATACCGGAGGTGGCAGGTTCAAACCCAGCCCTGACCAAAAACTGGAAAAAAAAATATATATATAGATATAGATATATAATAATATCATATAAAAATATATCAATATATATATCTATATATAGATATATAGATATAGATAATATTAAAAAAAATAAATAAATGCAATTTAGCAATATGTAAAAAGCCTTAACAAGTGTGAAGGAAACCAGAATATGTCACGCTAAAATGTGCCTCTTTGACATAAAAATTATTGTTGAGCTGAAGGCAACTACAAGTAGTAAACAGAAGAAAATCTCTCTTTTCTGTCCAAAGGAGGAAATACATTCTCCTTTACTGGAGACAACTCCGTAGACTCATTATCAGTCCAGAGATAACACAGGAGGAATCTATGGTAAACAAACCGTATTCCATTAGTTTCCTCCCATACATTTGCCTTCCTATGGTTTTCCATCCTTGGAAACCTAAAACCTCTTTCCTTAGTCCTGCCATTTTCCCACAGTGGTATTCCTTTGTTGAAGATGCTACATAAGCCAGAGTTCTAAGCCACTGCTTTTAATTACTTTTCACTGAGGTTTCTCCCACGTGAAGTGTGTTGTGTAAGTTTTAAAACTTATTTTTCTATTGTTAATATGTCTTCTGTTATAGAGGTCCCAACTAAAAACTCTAAAGGGTTAAGGAAAATATTTTTCCTCCTCAACAAGTACATACAAATAATGTGTAAATACCGTTTATAATAGCAAAAAATACATCAGCAACCTAAGATGTGAACAAAAAGAAATCATTTAAACACTAGGATAGGGCAGCGCCCATAGCTCAGTAGGTGGGGTGCTGGCCACATACACGGAGGCTGGTGGTGAGGCGAACCTGGCCTGGGTCAGTTAAAGCAACAATGACAACTGCAACAACAACAACAACAAAATAGCTGGACATTGTGGCAGGCACCTGTAGTCCCAGTTACTTGGGAGGGTGAGGCAAGAGAATCACTTATGCCCAAGAGTTTGAGATGGCTGTGAGCTGTGATGCCATAGGACTCTACCCAGGGCTACAGCTTGAGACTCTGTCTCAAAAAATAAATAAATAAATAATTTATGGTAATTTGTGGTATATTGCCACAATGGATTACTGTTATATCAATAAATTTTAAAATAAAATATATGCTGATATATGCATGATACAGTAGTAAAAAACAACACCAAGTGAGCCCATTTCTGTAAGTATTTAAAATCTAATGGTGCAAGGCTTCACTATCCTGTGAATGTCATACTTTCCTTCTTATGGTTTTATGGAACAAGATTGGATTAGTTTAAATGCTAGTTTTTTTTGTTCCCTTCAAAGCAGCCTTACTAAGTATCTTGAAAACAGATGTATCACATAAAGACATCAAGTTTGTCGACTACATTTATGATGCAGGAGCCATCGTCTTGCTTTGATTCTCACTGTACCCTCACCACTTCCTCGCTGTGCATTCTTTGATGGACATGCTAACATCAGAGCCAAAGGAATGAACTCCACAGGTACCAAAACCTGGGAAAGAATGGCCTCCCCTTGGCTCGGCACCTACAGCTCAACCGGCTAAGGCGCCAGCCACGTACACCTAAGGTGGCGGGTTC